TTTTCTTTGTTAATTTCGCGAATCGACGTCGCGCCCTCGTGCCGAAACCGTTGCTTTCGGGGATCCGTGACAAAGAAAACCAGGGATTAACTCTGGTTCTGCAACGGCGCAGCTAACTTTCCACATTGAAAATTGCTTATACTCCTCTTCGGAGTTTTAATATATTAAATAAAAAATTTATTTGCCGTTAGCATTTGGAACCTATCCATGTTAAGGCAACGAATATACAAGATGATTCTACGATCTACATACAATCTATATACAACAAATATACAAGATAATCTACGATCTACGAGATGCACTGTAAAAAAAGTATGTAAAATTACATACATAATAAGTGTAGCGATTACTCTATTAATAACGGAAATATATAAATGTATGTACTTTTACCAAAAAATTTATTTACTCTTTGTTGTGTAAATACTCGTTTATACATGATGAAAAATTGCAAAAAAAATGTAAAATTCACACAATCAAAAGCAAGCAGTTTACTTATTATATAAGGTAATAATTTTACTGACAAGGAGTAACTTTACTGACGTATGTAAATATACATTTTTACTAGATGGTCCGAACATTACTCACTATAATACTTGTAATTTTACATGTAATTTTTTTACAGTGTTTATATTCGTTGCAGTAATAAAAAAGTTTCTCACTCACCGACCCGATGCGCAGCAGCGGAGTTTCACTACGTTGATTCTGTAACGTACAATGATAAAGTTCACATTAAAATAGAGTATTCAAGAAAATGAATATTGAAAAAAATAATTTTTAAATTATTGAAAATAGATAAAAGGAAGATTAATTTTATACAAAATAAAAAATATTTACCCTAAAGTTGCTCCGCCGGTGCCTGATGCCTTCCCCAGGCCTCCTCCTCCACTCAGGTTGTCTTCTTGCACACTCGCGAAAACACAAAGATCGTTCGCGCGAATTTATACTGAAAGTCTTTAGTCCAATTACACAAACGGCACTCCCGAACGCGACGCGACACAACGAATCGCCGCGCAAGGTTGCGATTCGTTTAAACTGGCGAAATAATAGCGAAATTATTCGTCAGTCCTCGAAAGTTCGTACTGAAATGAACAAAATCAATTAATAAATGTGCTCTCTAAAAGTCAATCGGTGGATTATCACTGAAAACAGTGAGTCGATTCGTTATTTTCAGTAATAATCCACCGATTAACTTTCAGAGAGTGTTTAGGCCTGGTTTATCATTTTCTGATTAACTGTTAATATGGAAGTTACTCGACTCTCTATGCTTTTCTATATTATCTAAGAAGAGACAGAGAATCGATTAGACTATGGTCAACAGTTTATTAGAAACTGAAAAATCGGGCCCAAATAGTGCAATGGGTACCTTTGGTTGTCCCGTCTTTAGAGTATGTACTCTCTAAAAATCAATCAATGGATTATCACTGCAAACAGTGAATATTCACTGATTCAGTGATAATGTACTGATTGATTTTTAGAGAGTAACTCTTCGGGGTACTTAAGCCCCTCCACCACGACAAGGTAGTACCCGAGGAGGGGATTATCGACAAAAAAACCGTGCAATTACATATGTGTATATTTAGGAAAATGAATATTGAGTGAACATAAATTAGGTTTGCTATTCAATGCACGATGTGAGAGAGATTCATCCGAGTTTGATCGTTAAAAAAGGTATTAGCGCTTGTGGATATATCGAAGCTAACTACAATAATAATATAAGGCTAATGTAACGCCAATATCAATAATTGTACGGTATTGCATTTACATTATTGCCCAATGCTACGCCAATACTTTGTGCTATCCGGACTTTATCGACACTTTATATTATAATTCAACTACAGATTTAATATTTTTATTTTCATTGCAAGAAAGTAACTGCAAAGTAACGATTCGTTACTTTTTGAATAACTGTAACGCGTTACTTTTCAGAATTAGTAACTTGTAACTGTAACTAGATACTATACTTTTATAAAGTAACTTTCCCAACCCTGCATGATACCACAGACGCAACTTTTTTCCGTCGTGCTTCTCAACATTGACGAGTGAGCGACGAGTGTCACACTCGGCGCCAGGGTGACTTGCGAAGCGGCGGCGCCGCAACGACATCGTTCGAAAGCAAGAAACAAAAAGCGGAAAAAGGGGTGCGCGATAAAACGACATGCGTGGGCGGCCGTGGAACGACGGGGCAGGAGACGAGATGCAGCAGAGTGACCGCGTGCATCGGCAAGAAGCAGAGAGCAGGACGGAGGATGCATTCGACGAAGGCGCTATCGTGGGGCGAATGACAATCCAAATTTTCGTTGTTATAGGAACGGCTTGTGCAATTTTTTTTTACAGACACGCCCGGTTGGCGCCGAAACCATTGATTAAATTCTGGCGCCGACCCATTTTTCCCCTCTCGCGACCTGTACTCCCTCCTATCCCCCGGCCTCTTTCCTCTCAAGCCACATGCGCCCCGTGCGAGGCAAACTTTTTGGCAACGAAATACACTCGCGTTATTGCCGCACCGATTGAGAATCACTGGGATCACTTGGCTCTCCGGACTAATCCATAAACACCGTTCTCTCGCGCAGCGTCGCAGCATCTATCGCGTATGGGAAGCTTTAGAGCCGAAAGTCGACACTCGATAAAATACGAACACGACACACATCGCTCGCGAGACTTTTTTTTCCTCTGATATTGACATTGCGATGCTTCACGCGCGAGTATGACTCGATCAGATAGCGATTTGATGGAAATACGTTTCCTCTATAGAGACAACAAGGCAAACCGCACTACGCGGAATGTAACAATTATTAACGTTTGTCCCAATAAATTTTTCTTTATCTTCTTTCTTATAATATGTCATTGCAGTAATTAAAATGTAAATAATTAATAATATAATATAATTAATCATTTTGCAGTGAATTGTGTATTTTTCAATCAATAGATATAAGACAAAATGCAATGTAACGACAGAAGATTAAATGAAAATATCTATCAGAGGAATATAACATAATGTATTATATATTTATATATTTATATATTATATAATAATCCCATGTAACAATATATTATATATTACATATTTAAAATATAATATAATAATTTCATGTTTCTTTTAAAATATTAAAAAGTTGCACGAGCATGTTCTGGACCTCCGAATTATATTAATCAAAATATATAATTACGATACATTTAAAAAATACAACATCATAACAAATTAATTTAATACTGCACTTTAAGAATTAATTACAATTTTTCTCGTGTATCTTTCACACGTTTTTTAATTCGCGATATGTCAAATACTACTCGTACGCATTTAAACTTCCCACTCCTTTATAATTTCTTTTAAAAGTGGGAATTTTAGTATCGAGAACTGATAACGTTGGTAAAATCTATCTGTTCGTATTTGAAAGGCTACGAGATAACATGTGCAGTGACTAACAGTGATAATTCAGAGACGGTCCAATAAAGCCACGTGTCGTCAACATTCAGTGAGATTTCCTAGTACCAACTCGAATTTGAAAACTAACACAATTCGCTTGAAATTAGTCTAAATCTAATTCTCGCGTGAAGTTTACGATACTTGTGCTACTGTGTTTATCTCGATAAACAAGAAACGGAAAAACAGGTTAATAAATTTTGTATAGATAATCTAAATCTTACTGTGGATATGTCGCAGGATATTTCTACGGACATTTTTAATATACATAGAGAAAAGTCCTCTATCATAAGATAGGATTCTGATAGTAGGTTTTCAATGTCCAAATTACATCACAAATCTTTCTTTCGTACCGATTGCACGATCTAACAATCAATTTTCCACTAAACAGATTTCACTCCAAGAGCAATGAATTTATGATGGAAAAACAGATATGATGCCTATCTTATATTAGGAGCCTATCTCACAATAGGGGACTTTCTTTTATATGTGCTCAATAAAATATTAAAATATATATCGTAAATAAATAAATTGCTGACGATTAAAAAACGATACTGGAACAGTGTCTACAAATTATTTACGAGCATTAATAAATATAAAATTTATGAAATAATAATAATAATGCACAGAAACATTGCAGTAATGCTTACTTGTTATCTTTGGAACGTTGATATGTAATCGCTTACCTCACCTACATCAAGTACTTTGATTCAGACATGTTGGAATTAAAGTTAAAAACTCAGAATTAAATCACTTAAATATTTTTACAATCATTATAGTTTTACATATAGTATATAATGTATAATATATATTATATCTCGCTGCAGGCTACAATTTACATACTAAAGATATTATCGTCGTTACAAAGAAGTCAACAATATACCAAGTATAATTATAATATAATTATAATATAACAGTTTCCTTATTTTTTTAATTAGTCATTCCACTTATCACATTAGCAATTAGTATAACATACACATATAAGAGATCTCGAAACTAACTGATAAAGAAATCGATATTAAAGTAACAAAAGAATAAAACGCAGATTAAATTGACTACAGTAAAATAATTAAAATAAAGAAATCAGATAAAAATTTTAAATCTTGATTACAAAAGATTCAATGGTAAAGTAAAAATTTGTATTAATATTTTCTTAGTAATCATTTTTTCACCAGAATTCGAGAAAAGCCTTATTTATTCATATAAATGGAAGTAAAAGGATTTTTTAAGCTCTACTTTACGTATGTCTTTTATTAAAGATAGAATTTGCGTTGTTAAAAAAAATTCACACTATATATTACTATTGAGAATGTTACTGCTGATATGTACTTTTTGAAAAACGGAGAAAAAGCCATTACATGAAAACGTACAATATATACATATATGCTTGTAATACGGTTTGATATCAATCATTTTTACGTCAGTGGTTGACGCAACGTATGAAAAAAGACGTTTTTATGACAGTGATATTATTTTCGCATCGAATCGTAGGTGCGAAGCACGTATAATTCATTATAAGAATTACTTCCGGTCGACGATAAACAGGAAAAGATAAAAGTATCAGCTAAAAGTTATTTATCGCGAATCTACATATAGAGATAAGGATATGACGGATTAGGGATCACATCTACCTACGAGATATATAAAATTGAAATTCATTAAAATGTGTCATTGGGTGGAATATTCTGGATCCTTTTATCGCAATCACGCGTTAAATATCTTCATCTTTAATAAAACTAATTGTGAGAAAGATGTTTCATGCATATCTGGTATATCTGGTTTTCGGAAATTTTACAGCCGATAAGAATACGAATGAAATATGAGTATGCATAATGATGGAAAAAACCCCACAACACGCATATACTTTCTAAGTTCAAACTGTCGTCAATTATACACTGTGAGAAGTAGATCTATCACACATGTGTGAATATTAACACGTCACACACTTGAAATATTAATGCGTCACACATATTTAATGCATAATTTTTCAAACGTCATGCATTATCCTCTTAACATGCGCGTGTGAAATGCATTAGAGAATGTGTGGAAATCACACACTTCTATGTGTGGATTTTATCAAACATCTAATACTGTTTGAAATAGTCAAACATCGTAATATTCACACATGTGTAATATTTCTATACGTTTGAATATAACACACTTTGGGAAAATTCACACACTCAGTATAGTAACGCACTTACTAGTCACACACTGATCAGTCACATACTGCAACTACCCCAGACAATATCGTGCGAAATCAGTGCTCGTTGTAGATATCCTACCGTGTGTTATCCCATCCGTTTTGTGCTTCGGACGATCGTGAATAAAGTGCCTTCAAGTCTAGACTGTGTCCTATTGCTAACATCTCGGAAACCTCGTTCTTCCTCTTTATTTCTGATTCATGCTCTTTCCGCTAACCTCCCGTTTCCCTACCCTCCCACTTGGATCGCATCATATGTATAATGTAATTAGTTGTTTTAAACGACAAGAAACGTGTAAAAAGTGCTTTCACCAAATTACATATGTGTATAATAGTAAAACACTTGGATTTGCAATGTAGTGCAATCTTTTTTACACATTTATTGGCACTTTGAAAATTACACACATAAATAAGTTATACACCTCCATTTGTGTGAAAAGTCACACACGCCAATAAAATCAAACATCCATTCGTGCATGAAAAAGTCACACACTTACAGACGTCTTGAAATGGCGGACACACATCACATGCGATAAAGTGTGTAATATTCACACACTGCTTCTAACAGTGTATATAAACCATACGTGCACATTTTATGTGTGTAGCAATTTATAAAACTTTTTATTCGAATAATCCAGTATGCATAAAAATATTATTAAATAAATACATATACCATTGTTATTATACATAAATTGTATCTTTGATGAAAATCTTTTTCTATATTTTTGTATTCTTTGTGTACCAATTATACATATATGTATAATGATCTATATGTCGTTTGATATACAAATTACAGTTGGATATTAGAAAAATTGTATATTGTACATCGGTTTTCCTTTTCTTTTCACAGATAACTGTCTCGAAAACCACAAATGAGCAGTCAAAATACATCACATATTTATGCGATATACGATGTCGCGCCACCTTCGTACGCGGAGGCTGTATCAGGGACGTTTGACCAGAGACCTCCACGTACAATAGTCAATCTACCACCGCCTTCGGTAAATTCACGATATGAATCAACGCAACAGCAAAATCAATCAGCGGGCGCACCTTATGGCACATCACCAATAATAGTAACTCGTGGAAAGGACTGTAAGTTTTAAAAAATGCCGTCGACATTAGTCAAGCGTCGATTTGAGGCAACGTGTGCTTTAACGAAAAATACACTATATCACAACAAAATAGAACAGAGCACTATTGAAATTCGTTGCGTTTGTTGTAGAACTAATCAAGGAAGATTTATTAAATGTTAAAATACCAGAAAATATTAACGATGAAATAATCTTCATTTTAGCATGAAGAGTAATATGTGATAGAAATGAAATATTTATACCAGTTGTAGCTCCGTCTCAAAATAAATTTTATTGTGACAGTTGTATGCATTACGGTCTATACATATTAAATGTTACTGCGTTTAAAAAGTAATTTATATGTCTGTGTGCAATTCGATTCTCTCCCATTCTGATATTATAATAAGTTCTGTTTGTTTATTTCAGCATATGGAACGTGTTCCAAGTGCGCATTATTTTTTATAGTAATTGTAGTTATACCAACTGTAGCCTTTTTTCTCTTAACGAGAATCTTATGATAAAGATTCTTCATAATAAGTAAAAGAAGAAGAAACTTATATTGTACTCTAATATTATAAAAATGTATATTGTTATTATACGAGCAAATTAATTATCTATCATTGTAGTTAATCCCGTGATTCGTTTCATTAGTTGCTACAAAGATTATTTTGTGATATTTTTGTGTAATTAAAATCGTCATATATATTAATATAACTTTGTAATAAAATATGTATCTGTATAATAGAGATAATCTTAACAGAACGTCTATGTGTTCTCAAGAAAAAAACAGATATTCTAGTAACCTTTAACGGCATCTTATGCATGCCGGTCATTATAAAGATTCAAGACTTACGTGCCGTGGAAGTATTTCTGTCACCAATCGTTGCAGTCGTTATGCAAGAATGCGCTATAAAATGAGTGATTGCCACCCAGCGGAACGATAAGGAATCGCCCTACCACACGCGCGTCATAGTTCCTTCATTTTCCTCCGTTCCGCATAAAAGAGCCCATAACGCCTATACACGGCGACGTTACACCGTGTAAAGTAACGCAGTGGTGAGAAAGGGAAGGATGAAGGGAAAACGCGAAGGTTGAAACGTTAACGGCCCTTTATAATACAAGATCGCGGTGTAACAAAATCCCATGTCGCACGGTAAGTCTCGTATGTGTCCCAGCGCGAGCATTAAAGACATCGGTCGATGTGGGTGAGAGACCTCGTAGTATAAGTAACGACCATATTTCGCAGCTATAACAAAACGTCACATACACGTTGGAAGGGAGAGAGAGAGAGAGAGGGGGGGGGGGGTAGCTGGGATGCGGGAGAGGAAGGTGGAAAGGCCGGCGGGTGGGCCGCTTTTATTATTGGCGCAATAAAACCCCGGTAACTGAGTAATAATTTAAAAGTTGAGCGCCGTTCAGCTCGAGCACCTTCGGCGCGGCGCCGCTTCGAGATGAGAGCCTGCAATCGACGGCGTCCAACGCGACGATATCCGCGCCAATAAGTGCGACCGGCGAAAATTCGCGAATATTCCGGGCTACACGATCCGCAGAGGTGTCGATTTTATTGCGCAATCTGTCGTGCATCGGATGCCTCGCTGTTAAAAATCATGTTCAACGAATACAGCGAGGCTGCTGAGTCTCCGGGTATAGATGCGATAGGAAGGGGCGGAAGTAGGAAAATCGAACAGTCTAATTACACCGATTTGATTACGCGAATTGAAGTATTAACTTTCGAAATTTGCCACAGTTTCTACAGAAGACAAAAATTAGTTTTTTTTTGTTGATAAAACTGACGCGCAGTAAATAATTTTTCGCGTTGCGAGCAACGTTCATGTAAAATGTCGATAGTAAAAAAAAGTGCATTATGCGAAATACACAAGAGAAACTCGTATGGGTTTAGCAATAGGCGCGCGATTTAAGCAACCGCCGTGCGCGTAAAATACGTGTAAAATACGAAATAAAGTGTTTAATCCCGTCGGCAAGTGCGCAAATTTAATAATTCATTTATGTAACGTATAGAATTTCACATGTGACGTGCCATTTAATATAATAATGCGCTACGGCGTGAGTGAATTTTGCAAACTACTCATTGCACATCCGTTAAAAATTACATGCGGCGTAATTAATTTGCACACGCGCGGCGACGTGAATTGCAGAATGAGGCTTGTCGAAAGCTCATCGCGCGCTCTTCGCTCGTCGACGGGGAATTTACGAGGCGGCTTTTGTGCGATTCCGACGAAAATCGATCAGAAAAACTTGAATAAGTGCGAAGGGCGCATTGTCGAACGGGGGAAGAATACGGGAATTGTCGTTAGCCCCCTCCCCCCCTCTCCTCCTCCTCCTTCCCCTCCTTTCCACCCCCGGTGACACGTCTGAGTTGTGGAGCGGAGAGACGGGGACTAGATATACGGTCGGACGTTGAGAGTGTAACAAGGTTTTCCGTTATCGAGTCTAAGATATCTTTAAAAAACGAGCGCCGATCGCGATGCATCTCCGCGTTGCTATCAGGGGACCGGGGGAAAAAGGGAGGGGGGGGGGACAAGAATGCGAGGAAAACGCGCGGTTCCGCTCGCGCCTCGCGTGTAAAAATGGATCTTTCCTACGGAGCCGGGCGCGCCGAGCCGCGCTGCTGGAATTCGATATCGCTTGTATACGTTGCACTCCGCATCCCGTTGTGAACGTAAAGCGAATTAAATATTTTCTCGCAGCGGGCGGGCCCGGAGAATTCCAATGTAACGACGGCGCCGCGCGGGCATATCCGCGGATCTCGTTCGCGAATTAAAATTAATAGAACGCCTATCGGGACGGAATGATTGCGCGCTCGCATGTGCATTTACTCTGGTTACTATGTACGCGCGCGTTACATAGCTCGAGATTATCGTTACGATCGATCGAACCGATACCTGAGCGTACACATAGAGAGGATTTCAAATGACTGTTGGAAAAGTAGGTTTTTCCCGGCTCTCCACGCCGCGCCGGACTTTCGAGCTCGCTGCGGCGAGATGTGGGCTCACGTGGGCTTAACGTTTTTACCGTACCTTTTTCCGATAATTAATGTTCGTCCCTGCGCGCCTGCAAAGCGAACGAAAGGGACAAACGCGAGAGAGAGAGCGGCAGATCAGATTAATGATTGTTTTACCCGCTCGTCATTATGTGAAAGACGACGCGGGTTATCGCCGAGCGAGATAGCGGTAGGGCGAACGAGACGGAGAAAGTGGAAAGGACGTGGAACGTGTCAGGCGAAAAATCAAAGAGCGTCGTGCGTCATTCTAACCCCGGGGGAGGGAAAAAAAAGGGAAAAAGTCGAAAAAGAACGGAATCGGCGGACAGGGCGACGCTTTCGTTTTGCACGAATTATTTTCCGGACTACTTTTACAACGAAAAAAAAAAAAATACACCTACGTTGCATTAAAACTGCCCGTGCGAAGGTCTTCGTGATCGAATTGCGATGCACAGTACTTTTTGTACACGTGATGCTGCAACACGAATTCTGCTCTTTATCCGATAAGTCTTTTTAATATTGCGATCAAATCATTAATGGTTTCATAGTTAATCGTTCGAATAATTAATCAACGCGTAATGTAATATTTAACAGAGGTTAGAGAATAGGTTTTTTATTGTTTGTCTTGTGTTGAGAATATTTAAACGGTGGTCGAATGTACATAAAATTATATACTTCACTAAATTAAAATTTGCAATAGTAGGTACATCTACATCACGAATAATGTAAATTTTATGATTAAGTTATATGTACATATATATGTAATTTAATAACGTTAATAATTATCGCGTAACAACAACGATATAACGACGATAAATAAACAATATCACTTGGCCAGCTGTTCCGGAAAGCTCTTGTACAAAAGAGGAATTGATTCATATGAGATCAGCAAATTTTCGATAAAATACTAGATAACTAGATAGGATTCATCAGGAATATTCTCAATTATTCAGAAAGTCATCGGAAAAGTTGCTTCAAAAGTTCAGTCGAAAAACAAAGGGAACGAGAAGATGCGGGTGAACATAAAAGAGAGCACGACGAAAGGAGAGAAAGGCTACGTGACAGGTCAGTTTGTACCCGAAGAGACTCATTTGGTTGAATCTGACACCGAATTTAATCAATGGGTCACTACCAAGTCAATGTTTGTTCCAATTTGCTACCGTTTCTTTACGTGTGATTAGAGCTATCGAGCGGATTCAAGTCGTACAGAAAAAAAGTTGATCTTCCCTTTATTTTGAATACGAGTGTCGCTGTCGCGTCGTCAAAACGAGCGATAAAGTGGTTTTATTGAAACAAAGAGTCCCAATCTTTAAAAATACTATAAATCGCACGAAAATTTCAATTGTAAAATATAGACAGCTAATATTTAGTTGTGACAGCTGATATTTTGCCTATTGTGTTAGGTGCAACAGCAAATCATTTGCTGCGGTTTAGAAATTTATAGTTAGGGCAGCAAAATACTTTTAGCAAATTTTAGTGACGGTAGCGAAAAATTTCTTTCAGTACGTACACTTAATCTTAATCCAAAAAATATTACTTTACTCAAGAAAATTATTCATTAGGTGATTCCTAATAGCTTGTTAACTTAAATGTAAAAATAATAAACAAATTAAAACATGCATTGCTTTAATTTAAGTATTTATTAAGTATCAAAGAATAGATAATTTCTAATTTTTAAAATTTACTTTTAACTCTATAAAATGTTTACTAGGATGTAATTTTCACAGCGAAGAAAATTGGACTTCTTATTTAACAAAAACAATGATTTAATTTAATAAATAGTATTCTATATCTCATGAAATCTTTATTTGAATGTAGAAAATGTAATGATTTAAATTAATGTACTTAATATAATACATAGATTTACTGGAAATTTGATATTTTTACTTAACTAGAATAAATATTTACTTCAGTCAAAAAATAATTTTAAGTAAATCTATTTGCTTAGTTAAAAAAAACTTTTTTGTTAATGTATATTTCATTGTAGAAATGCAAAGTGAGCGCTTCTTTGCGATAAACGTTTTACTGAAATTTATAGGGCGGTTGCCAGTAAATTTGTCAAAACTCACTCTCTCGCGTGCAAGTAATTAATTCGGCATGCATGTTTTACTACAAATATCGACGTTAGAAAGTTGCGAGTAAAACGGACCGCAACGGAAAATTATGTACTTGAGCGCGCGACACAATGGCGAACGAAAGTGACCGCCGCGTCACGGCTCGAGGAAAGCCTTAATCCAACATAAACCGATATAAACTTCAAAACTTATATACCGCTGTAACGGCGTGGCGAGGACACGTTTGCGCGGCCCCTCGAAATGGAAGTGGCGTGGTCGCTGCGAGTGCTAAAAGGGGTTGAACGGACGTGAGAAGTTGGTGGATGCGGTCGTTGGAGGGCGGCGGAGACCGGGTTTGGGTTGGGTTTGGCAAAACGTGCCCGCTCGTCTAAGTCGCCGCGATCGTTTCTTTTCTTCTTGCCTAGCCACATTTACGCTCTCCTGGCCCTTCAACTCTCGCTCCGGCCCCCGGTTTTCTTTCCGCCGCGTTTTTCTTTCTTGTCATCCCTCTTGCCCGACCGACGGCACATCGTCGTGACAACCGGAAGCTGAAGAAGCTGCTCCCGATCGATACCTGGCCGCTGTTTGGCTCGCCTCTCGCACCACAAAGGGGGGGAAAAAGGGTGAGCGTCTTTCGCGGTGAGGAACAAGACGACGACGGCAACCGCGGCGCGACGCCGCGTTCCAAATTGAGAGCGATAACGA